TGATGCTTTTTGTCTGATGTTGTCGTTCTTCAACAGCAATGCTTCGCAATGAAGTCGGGTGGTTTGATGAGGAGGAGAATAGTGCTGATAATCTATCTATGCGCTTGGCAAATGATGCTACATTTGTGCGTGCTGCTTTCAGTAATCGCCTGTCCATATTCATACAAGATACTTCAGCTGTTATCGTGGCTATTCTTATTGGGATGCTACTTCAATGGCGGTTGGCACTCGTGGCATTAGCCACTCTTCCTGTTCTTACCGTGTCTGCTGTTGCGCAGGTTTGTTTTATCTGTACAATGTCACAAATTAGTCACTTATTCATACACAGAATAAAAGTGTATTTCATATTTTTATCGCAAGCTTATCTTAAAACATCCTGAGGTGACTTTCCTTGAAGAAACCAGATTGTCTTTTTGTCGTCTTCTCTCCTACTCCCATAAAACAATAAAATTGGTTTTGTAGAGTTTTTGTCCTGCAAAAGACTTGTTAAAAAGTTAAAGAGAGTAGTTTATTGCAATCAGTTTTTCAAATTAACATCTCTTCGAAACCTGTCAATATTTTTAGTTCTTTCTACCAGGCACTCACTTGGATCTGAACTTAATTTGCAGAAATTGTGGCTTGCTGGCTTGTCAAAGGGTATTCAGGAGATGCATAGGAAGGCATCTTTGGTCCTTGAGGATGCTGTTAGAAATATCTATACAGTTGTAGCATTCTGTGCTGGTGATAAGGTAATGGAGCTCTACAGGTCGCAACTGCAGAAGATATTTACGAAGAGCTTCCTCCATGGTGTGGCAATTGGTTTTGCATTTGGCTTTTCACAGTTTCTTCTTTTTGGTTGCAATGCTCTTCTCCTTTGGTATACTGCTCTCATGGTAAAGAATAAGCACGTGAATCTAACTACAGCGCTCAAGGAGTTTATGGTGTTCTCATTTGCATCTTTTGCACTTGTTGAGCCTTTTGGGTTGGCTCCATATATTCTCAAAAGAAGAAAATCTCTGACCTCAGTATTCGAAATAATTGACCGAGCACCAAAGATTGATCCAGATGACAACTCCGCCTTAAAACCGCCAAATGTCTATGGAAGTATTGAGTTGAAAAACATTGATTTCTCATATCCATCTCGACCAGAAGTCCTGGTACTGAGTAATTTCACTCTAAAAGTCAACGGAGGGCAGACTGTAGCTGTGGTGGGTGTTTCCGGCTCCGGAAAGAGCACAATTATATCTTTGATAGAGAGGTTTTATGACCCTGTTGCTGGTCAGGTTTTACTTGATGGCCGTGATTTAAAGTCATACAATTTACGATGGTTGAGGAACCATTTAGGACTTGTTCAGCAGGAACCAATTATCTTTTCAACCACCATTAGGGAAAACATAATCTATGCAAGGCACAATGCTAGTGAAGCTGAGATGAAAGAAGCCGCTAGAATAGCAAATGCTCATCATTTCATCAGCAGTTTGCCTCATGGTTACGACACACATGTTGGGATGAGGGGGGTAGATCTGACTCCTGGGCAGAAGCAAAGAATTGCAATAGCTCGTGTTGTTCTGAAGAATGCACCTATTCTGTTATTGGATGAAGCAAGCTCCTCCATTGAATCTGAGTCGAGCCGAGTGATACAGGAGGCTCTTGATACTCTAATCATGGGGAACAAGACAACTATTTTAATTGCCCACCGAGCTGCCATGATGAGGCATGTTGACAACATAGTTGTACTTAATGGAGGGAGGATTGTTGAGGAAGGTACCCACGATACACTGATGTCAAAAAATGGTTTGTATGTCCGCCTGATGCAACCTCACTTTGGGAAGGGATTGCGTCAACATAGACTTGTTTAAAAACGGAAGCAATGCAACTGAAGGTACATCTCATTTACAGTAACGTCCAAATCCTTACTGTAAAATCCCAGCTTCAAACTGGACAGATCAAAGCAAAGACAGAATGATGAGGATTTCTAACACTTTGTTTGCTGTTGATTATCACGTTTGGGCAGTGAAACTTCGTATGTAATTAGACTGATGGCGTTGTTGTTCAAATTGATATCGAGGATGATAGGATGTCAGGACTAGAACCCTATTCTTTTGGAGGCAGGCCGGTTGTGTAGATCAGGTTTATGCTCCGTCTCCTGATGGTATATTGATTTGTTAATTATAGAGTGGAATGAGTAGCCATAGCTTTGATCAGGTCTGTATTCTTTCTTCCTTTCGGGTTGTGTCTCTGTGTGTGTTGTAGTCAAGTCAAGTGATGTTCATTTTTTTCGTGACGAAAAATCCCCCTCTCCACTTTTCTGCTGTATATTTTTCTTATATGGAAGCCATAAGAGATGATTTCACCATCATTTTCTGCCTGTATAAATGTGTCACAAATTTGGTCTTTTGGAGTACACTTAAGTTTTGGTATGTGAAGATGCATAATGTTGTATAACAATGTTAGAATGAGGAAAATTAGTAAAAGTTAAGAGTACTAATTTTTACCAAAAAATGTATATGTCATCTCACATATCATCTGTGCTTGCTACTCAGTTATAACAATTTTGCATCTTATAAAGCTAGATGAATAGATTGTTTTAAGAAAAATTTAGGCCTCGGTTCGATTTCGATTTCGATTTTCACTATAAATAAGACGAGATCGATAAAGTATCGGTATAACAATTTTTGGTTAGAACAATTGACTCTCAATTAATTCTATATGGTATCACAACAATTTCTCAAAATGAAAAACTTTAATCTTATACCACCAAGAAAAAAGAAAATAAATCTTACCAAAATAAAAGCACGTGGTAGAGATTGAAAAAAGAAATAATGTCAATTTTACGATAGATCTAGAATACGAGAGGTATTGACTACCAATTTTTTCATAGATTTAGAATATAAAATATATATATATATATATATATATAAAAGAATAATTTTACAGTATTTCTTTTACGAATATCGATATAACTCAAATCGAAAAATATTGCTCCATTTTGAAGTATTTCAAATGTAGTCCTCCCTTCGACAAAATCTCTATTGCTAAAATCTATCACTTGAAAAGCAAAGCCAAAAAAGGAAGAAGAAATAATTAGAAAACAAACTATACAAGAAATTCAGTTGGGACTAAAATCAAATCAAAAACAAAAAAATTAAATAAAAAAAAGCATCTTACTCACAACATAAAAACTAGTTTTGGGAGAGGAAGCAAGAAAAATACATTTAAAAAATATAAGAAAAACTAAAATTTGATGAATGAGAGAAAGAGAAAGCTCAACAGGTTTTATATTAGCAGGATGAGTGATCCTATATAATATGGTCTATAAAAAATAATATTGTACGCTTGTCTAGATATGCCATATAATTCAAAAAAAGATGCTCTTAGCTGATAGTTTGCTGGACATCAAAGACCGGTTAAAATAGGTAAAAAAATAAAAAGAAATTTGATGATTTTTCTTTTTCTTTCCTTTGTTACTAAATTTAAAGTCAAAGATTAATAAATAGAAAAATATTTATATCTAAAAGTTCTCCTCTTTATATGAAATTAACAAAAAACAATAATTTTCTCTATGAGTAATCTTAAGTCCAAGTTCTTGGAGGTTCACAAAAAATCGGAAGCTGAGATTCTAAAGGATTTGGATTTCAAATTCTGATAATCATGATTGTAAAAGGGGTGAAACGGTAAGTTCTATAACTTACCTGTTTGATCCTTCACGATCATTATTTGTAAACTCAAAATTTAAATTATTTAGAAGCTCGATTTTTAATATTTGTAGATCTCCAAGAATTTCGGCTTCAAAGAGCTAATTTTTTTGCAGAAAAAAATTATTGTTTTATTTAATTTTATAGAAAGGGCAGAATTTTTGGATTTTGGGGATACAATTAAGAATATGTGAAGGAATTATGGCTGATACACCCAAGAATAATAATTAATTTCAACTTGAGAAATGCTAATTTTTTTCCCTAATGGTATAATGAAGACAAATTTGAGCAATTTTATAGAAATATTGACGGAGTTTGCTCGAAATGCTAACACTATGTTTGGATCATTGTTACCCATTGCATTGTATCGTTACTATTCCTACAATGTTTGTTTTGATTGTTACTTAAAATGTATTGTACTTTATTGTTAAATTTCATTGTTACGTAACAATGAAAACCACCATTTCATGGAACAACCAATTTGGTATGTTCCCATTGGTACTTAATTTCTCTTTTCAATTATATCTTTACATAATATTTTAAAATACTATTTTACCCTTTACCTTAATTATTTAAATCTAGTCGAACTTATTATCATAGAATAATTAAGAATATTAAGTAAATTTGTAAATTACAATACAGTACGATACAATCTAACCAAACAATCAAAATGTTATTAAATAACAACAAACTATATAATCTAACCAAACATTGCACCTACTATACAATACAGTACAATAGAATACAATACATTATGAAACAATGTGTAACAATGATTTAAACAAAGTGTAAAGGCTCCAAAAATTGAGGGACCTCATTTTATTTTTTTAGCAATTATAGGTTATAGAAATATTTTGAAATGAAAAATTGAGTACTATTCGTGAAAAAAAACAAAATTTTCATATAAAAGCACACCGTAGAGAGTGAAAAAGAAATAATCAAAGCAAGAAAGATTGATTGGCAATTTTACCACAGATCTAGAAAACGAGAGATATTGACTATTAATTTTTTTTATCATAGATCTAGAACACGAGAGACACAAAAAGAATCGTCTCATCGTATTTAATTATTTCTTTTTACAAATATTGATATAACTCAAATTGAAAAATATTACCATTTTGAAGTGTTTCAATTCGATTCGCTAGCTGTTTTAAAATGTAGTAATAAAATCTACCCATATATGGTCATTTTATTCTAAATTATTATATCCCCATAATTATGAAAATTTAAAATTTTATTTATTAACAATTTAAAAAATATTTAATGTAATCAAATATATGTTGAGATTTCAGAAGGTTTCATCATTATTAAAGAATACCCCTTGAATTGATTTTCAATAGGTTATTAATTATTATAAAATCTGAAAAGTAAACAAACACAATTCTAACCATCAAGTCTTGAGGCTTTAAATTAATCTTATCTTAATAGCATAATAATATTTCAGAATAATTGACTCTCGTTTTAACCTCGTAGAAGAAGAGTGATTGCTTTCGAAAGATCTTCGGCTCTGATATCACAGTTCTAGATACAAAGAAGAAAATATAACGAGTCACAACGAAACAACAAAAAGTCTACTCGACGGAAGCAACAATTACAATAAAATAGTATAATAATCGAGACACGATATATAATCTACAAGGATAGAAAATTGAAAATAATAGTGATGAATATTAAAAAACAACTTAAATAAGTACAATGACAAATACGAACCACCCTAATCAAGGCAATACTATTCTACCTACTAACCTTCTAAGACGTGTCCTCCACACCTTACTATCTAAAGTCAGGTCTTTTGTAATATGAAATTGAGTCATAGTCTTTTGTAATATGATAACATAATGCATTTCTATATTTTTCTATTGACTTTTTTTTCCGATTGTTGGATAAATGGGAAATCGAATAGATCAAACTAAATAAATCAAAATAAAAAAATGTTTAAAATTGAGTTGAATCAAATTGGATTTATTTTTGTATTAACCTAAGAACTTCAAAATGGTGACCAAAAACACACTAATCTTTCCCTTATCAAATGTGGGATTTGTTCCATAGTTGAGAATTGTTTCTTAAATCCAAATAATCATTTAAAAAATTTGTTATTATTCCTAATCATTTCAATATATTTAAAGAAAACTTTAACACGGTCAAAAGTCTCATATTAGTCTTAACCTAATCTTTTAAAACAATGTGTTGGCAAATAATCTTACATCCTAGACTTGTTCAATAATTTAATGGGATTGATGATAATATTTTATTCGAGATTTACTAGAAGAATTTATAATGAGATAATGTAATTTACAAATAAGCTAACTAGCTATGAATGAAAAGGTTCAAGTATATCCCTATATTGTCAGAAAATATTAAAATATATCTTTCGTTATATTTTTGGATCAAATATATTATTCACATTACATTTTCAATTCAAATATACCCCTTTATAATATTTTGAAATAAATTTCTATTATTTTAATCGAGAATACATGTTAAGCTTAGAATCAAATCATTAAATTTCATATATTTCTTTTTAAGAAACAATCTACGATTTAACCCAGACAAATTATGGCATTGAACAAAACTTGCTAAAATTGAGCTTTGTATAATAATTCCATTCTATCTTATGATTACAGATCCTTCACTTCATGAAACATTAAACTAAAAAAGTCCACTATTTGTGATATAAACAAATTTGTTCCTAAATATAATACTAGTAAAAAAGTATATTTGAATCAAAAAATATAACAAAGAGTATATTTAAACTAGGAAAAATGCATAAGTACCTCTCCAATCTATGCCCGAAATTTCAGAGACACATTTATACTATACTAAGGTCCTATTATCCCCTGAACTTATTTTATAAATAATTTTCTACCCTTTTCGGTATTACGTGACACTAGCTTGGAAAAAATGTCAACACGTGCTGGGCTCACAAGATACTGTCATATAGGTCTAAAGGGTAGAAAATTATCTATAAAATAAGTTCAGGGGTAATAGACCTTAGTACAGTATAAGTGTCTCTGAGATTTCAAGCATAGATTTTGGGGGGGGGGGAGGTTGTGCATTTTAACAGAAGTCAAAGAGCAAAAAACTACGAGACTAGTTCTAATGTACTGGAATGCAAGGAGACAACCACACTCGAATATTTAATATCAACCCTTATCCTCGATCTTCATAACCTCCTATCTAATTTATGTCCTCGGTAAGAAATGTTCTATCTAATAACCTTACTCCAATACTTCTTTGGGTGAGCCTCTAATGCCGTCACTGCCAACCTCTCACACTTCCTTACTAGGGCATCACTATGAGTTTGAGTTTGTTAAAACCTGGTTTACAAGTATTATACATATATACATACATCAGCAAATTAAATGATTGTTGATTTTATTATAAGACTAATTTTTCGGAACGTGTGTTGCACGTTTGTTCTTTATTATTATTAATTTTCTAGAAAACTAAAAAGTTGAGTTATAAAATAGAAAATACTGAAATTAACAATCGTAGTTTTACCATTTATATTTTATTCATTAAATAATAAAAAATATATTATAAAGAAGAACATTAAATAGATGATACTCTAGCATTTTTTGTTCTCTTTTCTTCTCATGTTGAAATTTAATTGTGCAATTACCTTCCTATGATAACCTCAATCTTTGTAAAATTGGTTCTTAAAAAGCAATTTCAAATTTTAATGATGTTAAAAAAACTTAAATTTAGCATGAATCGAACCTTCAACTTTAGGCTTTAAAACTTCTAACTCAATCTTTAACACTTAGTCAAGGGCTCTAATTATGTCAAAGTGTGTGCAAACCTGCGTATATATTAACAATTTCATTAATTTGACCTATATTCACGGTATAATTTCGACGAAGGGTGTTCACTTGCACAACCATCACTGGCAGTAGCTCCACCACTGCATGAATACCTCTCTTTAGTGGCGACTTTTATTTGATTTAGTAGCGATTTTTGTTGTCACTAGAAATAAAGTTTTATGACGACTTTTATTTGACTTAGTGGCGGTTTTAGTTGCCACAAAAAACTATCTTTAGTGTCGGCCTTTATTAGTTTTAGTGGCTATTTTCAAAATGCTACTAAAACTGATCTTTAGCGACAACTTTATTTGATTTAGTGACAATTTTAATTATCACTACTTACCTAAAGCAGCGACAATTATTTGTTTTACTTTAAAATAACCTATTTCTCCATAATGAAGTACTATGGCAATGATACATAATTCAATTATTGAGGGTGAAAGGGTAAGTTCTGTAACATACCTGTTCGATCCATTCACGACCATTATCACTAAACTCGATATTTGGATCATTAAAAAGCTCACTAAACTCACAATTTTAGCAATAATAGGGTATAGAAATATTGTAAAATTAAAAATTGAGTACCATTGGTGTAAAAAATAAAATTTTCATATAAGAGGAAAGAATTACTAAAACAAGTATGACATATTTGTAGTGATATATCTTAAGAAAATTAAATTGACTATAAAATTAATTGAAAAAGAAGTATTTAGAGAAGTTCTAATATAAAAAAAAAGTTAATTGCAATTTTGTATCTAACAAAGTTAGAAAAATAGATTGTTTTAAGAAAAAAAAATAGGTCTTCATTCGATCTTGACTTTCGCTAATAATGTGTTTGAGTCATCCTTGCTATTTGGTGAATAAATAAGTCAAAATCATATATATATATATATATATATATATATATATG